AGACTTTCAGGTTTTCTACGTGAAGTATCATTCCTGCAAATAGTGAGTTTCATTTCTTCCTTGCCAATTAAGATTCCTTTTATTTATTTTTCTTTTTTCTTTTGTTTTAAAGTTTTATTTATTTATTTGTCAGAGAGAGAGAGAGAGAGTATAAGCAGAGGGAGCAGCAGGCTGAGCAGGCAGAGGGAGAGGCAGGCTCCCTGCTGAGCAGGGAGCCCAATGTGGGACTTGATCCCAGGACCCTGGGATCATGACCTAAGCCGAAGGCAGAGGCTTAACTGATTGAGCCACCCAGTCATCCCATAGGATCTCTTTTATTTCTTTTGTTGTCTAATTGCTGAGGCTGACATCTAGTACTATATTAAATAGTCTTGTTCCTGACTCTCTCAGTTTTTCCCCATTGAGGATGTTATTATCTCTGGGTCTTTTGTACATGGCCTTTATGGTGTTGACTATGTTCCATTTATACCTACTTTTTTATTAATAATGGATGCTGTATTTTTTCAAATGCTTTATCTGCATCTATTGAGAAGATCATATGGTTCTTACCCTTTCTTTTATCAATGCTGTGCATCATGTTGATTAATTTGTGAGTATTGAAACACCCCTGAAACTCAGGAATAAATCCCACATAATTGTAGTGAATAATTATTTTAATGTGCTGTTGGATTTGATTTGCTAGTATGTTGTTAAGAATTTTTGCATTCATGTTTATCAGGCATGTTAGACTACAATTATCTTTTTTAGTGGGGTTTTTGTTTGGTTTTGGAAACAAGGTAATGCTGGCTTTGTAAAATGAACTTGATGTTTTCCTTCTATTTCTATTTTTTTTTTAATATGAGAAGAACAGGTATTTACTCTTTAAATGTCTGGAAGAATTCCCCAGAAAGCTATCTGGCCCTGGGCTTTTGTTTTTGGGAGATTTTTGATGACTGATTCAATTTCTTTGCTGGTTATGGGTCTGTTCAAATTTTGTATTTCTTCCTGTTTCAGTTTTGGTAGTTTATATCTTTCTTGGAATTTGTCCATTTCTTCTAGATTGCCCAGTTTGTTGGTATATAAATTGTCATAACATTCTCTTATAGCTTTTTGTATTTTTGTGGTGTCGGCTGTGATCTTTCCCCTTTCATTTCTGATTTTATTTACTTGGGTCCTTTCTCTTTACTTTTTGAAAGGTCTGGCTACGGGTTTATAAATTTTATCAATTCTGTCAAAGAAATACCTCTTCAGTTTCATTGATCTGTTTCTACTTTCTTTGTTTCTGTGTCATTTATTTCTGCTCTAATTATTATTTCCCTTAGTTTGCTGTATCACTGATTCGTTCCTCTGCTTCATCCATCTGCATTTACATGGAAACCATTCGGGTTTGCATTTCAGTTACAGCTTTTTTTATTTTTGGTTTGACTGATTTTTAAATCTTTTTTCTCTGTAATAAGCGATTCTCTGTTGTCTTCTATGCTTTTTTCAAGCCCAGCTCATATCCTTATAATTCTTGTCTAAAATTCTGTTTCAGACACCTTACTTATATCTGTATTGATAAAATTCCTGGCTGTTACTTCTTCCTGTTTTTTCTATGAGGGTGAATTCCTCCATCTTGTCATTTTGTCTAGGTCACTGTTTTGTGTGTGTGTGTGTGTGTGTGTGTGTGTGTGTGTGTGTGTGATTGTTACGAAAGCCAGTTATATTCCCACTCCTGAGAGTAATGGTTATATTAAGAAGAGATCAAAAAAAGGTGGGGGAGGAGTCCTTTATGCAGTCTGCTGTTGTGTTTTGTCTGTTCCTACCATCAGGTGAGTCCTCTGCAATTTCTTATTCCCTGCAGTTGGAGATATTTGGACCGCTTCTTCCACTGTGTGTCAAATTTTAACTAGCTGTGTTTTGTTCTGCTTTTTAAGGAAGCTAGATAAAAAACAAAACAAAACCAAACAAACAAAAAACCTATTTCCCCTAGAGCGTAAGCTATGCAGCAATCTATGATCAGTAGACTTAGTGTGTGTAAGGAGATTGTGCTGCTCTTCTGGGGGAGGGGTCTGCTGCACTGATTCTCAGGCATATATGTCCTAGTAATGATGCACCTGCAGGGCACAAGAGGTGGGCCGTGTTGTATGTCATTCCAGTCTCCACCAGGGGGTACTGTGTTGCTCCCTGAAGTGATTAGTTCTGATAGGCATGGGGGGGAAATTGTGTGACTGCTCTCTCATCTCTGGAGCAGCAAGTTCGCATCACTCTTCAGGAAGCCCTCACAGGAGAGCAAACAATGACCCCTCTTTTGTCACCAGCTTTGTCAAATCCTTGCCTTCACTCTCTGTCTGAGTTGTCTACCTGCCAGGCAATGCATTACCCCTGTGCTTTATCTCAGGTATGTGGCTGGGTTTCAAAACTCCAAATTAACAGACCCTGTAGGATGAATCCATGCTGATCCTCTGAGTTAGGGTCTCACTGTAATTTTGCCATTTGCAGATTTGTTCCAGACATGTCACATGACTGCACAGTGGTTTGGAGTTTATTGTGAAACACAGCAAAATGCTGGCACCAATGTTTGCAGCCTTCAGCCGGAATCTCTGTTCCTATGCTAATGGAAAAGGGCATCATGTTCGCCCCACCAGTTATTTTGTCCCTGGAGAGGCCATGCCACCACTCCCAAATGCACTCCAGGAAGGGGAACTGCTTCTCCCTGTGTGACCTAGGGGATCCTCAGACCAAGCTGCCCACTCCTGGGTCTCCACCTTCCTTCCCCACAGGAGCACTGCTAAGCCTGCAAGCATGACCCTGGTGATGGCACAGACCTTTAAAACTAGACTTTGCACTCTGCTGTTATAATAACTCACAGTAGTCAGCTCCTCTCCTTTTCCAAGTCAATGGTTTTGGACACGAATTTTTCTTGTGTAATCCCCTGCCTGCTGCTTTCACTCTCTCTCTCCCTCTCTCACTCCTCTCTGTGATCAGGGCTTCCTCCCTTCTGTAGCTCCCACAATTCTTGTCTCCCTCAAATCAACTCTCCTCAGCTCCTACTCTTCATGAGGTGGATATTTTTCTCCATTTAGATATGAGGTTTGTTCTCTCAGTCCTCAGATCAATTTAATGTGTATTTAGAATGATTTGATATTTATCTAGCTGTGTTTGAGGGATGAGGCAAGCTTAGGGTTCCCCTACTCCTCTCCCATTTAACTCCTCCTGATTTTCTTAGTTTCAATTAAAGCAGAGTTTCAGGCATCTCAGCAAAATGAGCTTGTGTTGTGTCTTGTGTAACTGGAATAATTAATTTTGGCAAATTATTTTCGCCATGAATTTCCCCCTTGTCCTAATTTTTCCACATTTTCTAAATCGTATTCTACAAGACAGTTTAATATTAGAGGAAAGACAATTCAATATATTAGAAGCCACTTCTCCTTAGCATTTATCTCTGCCCTCTAGCTAAAGGCTACCCATAAAACACCCATAATTGAATGAGTCGGGTATATTTCTCACTGCAATAAGGGAAAACATACATTTTTGGGAACTGTGGAGTGTCTGAGTGAAGGGATATTAGAGGTAACAGGAATAAGAACATTTTTACTTAATTATTGTTGTAATGAGCAACATATATTTATCATTATTACTATTTATTTTATTATTTTTTGTAAAGGAGAGTTTTTACTTGATCATTGTCATGAGCTATGTTTAGAAGGCATTTCAAGCTCACTTTTCCCTCATTAGTTTTTCAAAGGCCCTGAAATAGCTGGGGACCCTTTTCCTGCTGTTAACTTGAGGAGGCAAAATATGTCTGTATTTTGGCTTGTCAAGATTCCTTTCTCAGCCACTAGGCATCCTATAGTACATGATCTAATTTTCACTAACATGTATTCTCTTAAGGAGACAGCATCCCAGAGGAGTTCTTTCTCATGCGCCATATTCTAACCCTCAGGAATCATGAGATCTTCACCCAGAAAAGCTCTTACTGTATAATACAGCACTCCTCCATCACACCACAGAGTAGCCAGTGGCCCTTCTCTCACTCTCAACATCCCAGGGAGAAGGCAAACATAAGTCCACTGTGTTCTTTAGATTTCATAAAACGGACTGACTAGCCTCTTCATTTTTTTCCCATATGTTTTAAGTGAGGGGCAGGCAAGCATAACATCTTCCAATTTTCTGGGACAGTAACTCAGAACACACCTACAGAGCTTTCTTAAAACCTCCATACACTCTCTTGACTTCATTAAATATCCCATGCCCATGAACAGGTAGATTCTTGTAACCAGATTTAGGCCTTCCTTTAAAATAGCCTATGATGGTGGATTTGGTATTCGTTTGGAATAGTTCACTTATTATTATTATTATTTTGTTCAAGGATTTCATTTTACCATTTTTACTTATATATTAAATATTTTATTATAATATGCCCAATGGTCTGTTAGTGGCACAAAGAAAATCCATTTCAGCTCAGCCTGTCATGTTGCTTCAGCTACTTACCTCTGCAACCTCATTTAAAACCATTCTGCCCCAACTTCATCTGTGCCCCATGTGTCTTCTACTTTCTCACCCAGGCCCACTCTTACTGCACTTCATGTTGTCTTGAATTGATTTAATTTCCCTTCACCACTTGCATAAGTAGATACATCTTTTGGATATTTCATTTATGTTCTGTAGGTTTGAACGTCATCAAGTAAATTCTACAGCATGCAATTCAAATCAAATTATTCTTGTCCATTAACAAAAGTACATACTTGGGACTGAAATGATAAAAAGATACAATTTATAACATCAAAATGATGTTTAGATTTATTTGAAGGAAGAAATCCAGCATTCTAATCTTTCTAATATATGTAGATTTATATCAATATTATATGTTTATTTATAGGTATTAGATATTCTATATATACAAATGTTCTATATATACAAATCTATATATATAAGATCTATCTATATAGATAGATATTATATCCATATCTATATCATCTATATCTATCTATATCTCTTTCAAGTTTCAGCAGATTTAGAATAAGGCATTTCTTCCTCAGTCACACAGAACATCTTCTTCCTGGCTTGTTTATGTACCTTAATGACAGGATGGTCAGAGGGTGTTCATTTTGACCATTGTAGAGGGGGCCAGGATAAAAGTATGGTCTCAAGGCCTCAGTGAAGCACTCTTTGTAAGTGTAGATGTGAGTCAGGTTGGTCACGTTATAAAAGGACACCCTCCCAGCCTCATAGTCCAGGAAGATTCCAATAATCTCAGGAGATTCCTCAAGGTGGAGTGTTATCCGTGGATTTGCAAGAGCTTGGTAGTCCTTACTTCTATTCAAACACAGTGTCCAGAACCCAGTTTCTGGGGACACGATGATTTCTCCTTGTCTGCGGATAGAATGTTTACAAATGCCCAGAGTCCATTTTATTTTCTTTTTCACATTCACTTCCCAGTAGTGTCTACCTTTGGAAAAAAATTGCTGACCTAATACACAGACTAGGTTATCAAACCGCTGCCTACTTTTGGGCAGTTCTTGCAAGGTATCACCTCCTTTCACACTTTTATTGTCCTCAGCAACTTGGAGATATCGGTGAGCTGTCTCTGGATCCAGGGTAACATTTTCTATGGAAGAACATGTTGTCAGTCTTGGCTGTGATCAATAATAATCCACAATAATTAACACAATGTACAAGTGCCCTTCTTCTCTCTAGGATCTTTCTCTAGCTTTCCTCAAATGAAGTTGCTCCTTTCACTCGGGTCATTTTTTTATATCACTTCTATTTATCAACTCACACACTTGAGAACTTGATATTGAGCATTTGTTCAGAATGGGGAAAAAAAGAATACTTAAACATACAGATTTTTTTCTAGTCAAAATATTTTTTTCAAATGCCAATATTACATTGAACACTTATTATGTGCCTAGTGCTATTTGAAACACATTTATAAATATTTAATTTTCATAACAAAGCAATAAAATGGAGAAAGGTTTTTATTTTTAGTTGAGACAACAAAGATTTAGAGAATTTTGTCCAAATATTATTACTAATATCCATCAATGTTTGGATTCAAGTCCATATCTATCTAATTCAATTTTGAATTACTGAAAAATATTTATATATATTTACTTTAAATCTGAATGTTCTGACAATTTAAACTCTGTTCTAATGAACTCTTTATTATCTAATGAACTTTAACTAGATTTACTGAATTAATTTTTCTCTAACGACTTTATATAGGTACAAATTTTCATAGATTTATGAATCAAAATATAATTTTAAGGTGTTGGAAACATATAAACACACAAACCTGAGATAAAAATGAAATGGATATCTACCTAATTACACAAGATTCTGTTAATATAGGCTATAAGTATTTCTCTTATGAAGTAATAGTTGTAGGTAAAACTAAATTTTACTTGTGTTAGTATAACCCCAAAGAAAATTCCACTAGCATTAAAGTGATATAAAAATAACTAAAAACTCCTATAGGTTAACATTGTAAATAGAAGATTAAAGATTAAAGATTAAAGCCACTTCAACTCACTTGCTCATGGGTATTTTTTCAAAGTAATATCTGGGATATATGGACTGTAATTTTTTTCAACTAGTAAACGTGCTTGTAAAGTTGTCTAATGAATGTGAATATTATGTCAATTAGTTATATGAACTGGAGAAATCTCCTATCAGTACTCATTGTATAATTTTTTATAAAACAGTGTATTGATACCTGACTTTTCTTCCTCATAGCCTATGTCTGAGAATTAAATGAAGATACTTCATTTGAACTAATTAACAGGAACTTGTAACATGTAACACAAATTGCTATTGTTCCTAATATTAAACAAAGGTCATAAATTTGACAAATCAAATGAAGGAACACTGATTGTGATCCATAGGCAATTAGTGTCATTGTATCATTAGTCTCTATCCTAAAGTAGATGAGGGGCAGCCTACATTTACCCCATTTCCTGTCAGTTACCCCCTATAACCATCCCTCAACTCATTTCTGGTTCTGAAAAGCATGTTGATGGTATCATTTTGGGTTATAATATTCTGCTTCCCTCCATCAATGAATCTCAGAGAGCAGCATCATTTGTGATATATAAGGAGCTATAGCTATAAACTACTCAACAATAAACAGGATAAAATGGAAGTTTTGGAGAAAAAATAAAAGTGTGTATGTATTCTGTGTGAGTTTGTCAGTGTGTTACAGGTTCCCATCTCTGGCGGCCCAGTGTGCTGGCTAAAAATAAGAATCAATATCCAAATATTTCAGTCTCTAGTTACCTGCATATCTTCGAGCAAGTTTCAACCCTAAAATAAAAAAAAAGGAAAAGAAAATTATAGTTTCAAAATCAAGATTTAGCAGTGAGTAAAGGAAGAAAGTGATGAGTGGTCAAAATGCAGGTGCATGAGTCAGGGCTTGAAGTGGGGGCCCTTTTCATTACTCACCTTCTTCTCCCATGAGTTTTATCCTTTCTGAAAGAATAGGATGTAGTGAGAATTTGCTTTGACATATATTTAGATTTCTATTCTGACAGAGAAATATTACTTACCAAGTTCTTCATGAAGCTTTCCTGAAAAGCAAAACAGTGACAAATCCTTGTGAGAAGTTGGTTAGGAGTTGTTAAGTAGACTTTCTAATGTTTACACATGTAAATCATTTGTGTAAAAAAAAAGAAAAAAGACAATGGTTGGATTTAAGTTACATATTTGGAAAATAATAGTTTATCTTTTAAATATTTTCTTTATTTATTCATGAGAGACCAAGGGAGAGAGAGAGGCAGAGGCAAAGGGAGAAACAGGAGCAGGGAGAATGATGTGGGACTCAATCCCAGGAGCCTGGGATCATGACCTGAGCTGAAGGTAGATGCTTAACTGAGCCACCCAGGTGTCCTGGAAAATAATGGTTTAAAGCCTTTTGGTTGGTTTTGATTTACCATAATTCAAAGGATTACAATGGAGATTTTTGCCCAGAAATAGACTCTCCCAGGTGTTTGCATTAAGCACATGGACTCCTGCAGACTCCCCAAACCGAAGGCATAAATTTAAGAACGCAGAACTGAAAGCACCAGTGAGGTTTGGCTATAATATCTGTTTCTCTGTGCCTGAAGTATTAAAAACTAAATGCAGTTATTTCTGTTAACAAATGCAAAATTGTCACAATATGATTACTATATTAAGAAAGAATTTTAGTACATTGTGAATTTTGCATTTTTTATATGTGATTTTGTGGTATGGAAATCTGCACCCCATTGAATCTAGAGGTGTAGAAATACATAAAATATATAAACACACACACAAATACACACATATAGGCACACAGCTCAGAAAGACAATGACATACACCCATCCACAACTGCTATTACAATTTTCCTCACTGCCACTTCACAGTGACTGTAAGCTGCCACCCCCCCCAATGGTGCACAGATCCATTTCCTTCCTTTCTTTGGTTTTTATGCTTATTTCTTTTTGCTCTTTTTCTCTCTTTGTTTTTAATTTCTGTCATTATTTTCTATTAATTTTATTCTCTTCATTTGCACAAGTTGCTGGAGATGGAGGTGGAAGTAGGTAAGGTACATGGACCTACATTAAACTTCAGGTCTCTTTCATGGTAAAGTGTCATATTATTGTAGTGTGTAGATATTTCCTAACAATTTATCAAGTATAAAATTCTGTAACCATTTTGCTAGATTTTTTTTAAAGATTTTATTTATTTATTTGACACAGAGAGACACAGCGAGAGAAGGAACACAAGCAAGGGGAGTGGGAGAGGGAGAAACAAGCTTCCCACTGAGCAGGACCCTGGGATCATGACCTGAGCCAAAGGCAGATGCTTAAATACTGAGCCACCCAGGTGCCCCTAGGTTTTATTTTGTTAAAGCATGTCATCAACAAAGGTTTTGACTACCTTGCCTGTAATGGCATGTTATGGACTGATTTTCCTTCTAGAAAAGTCTTATGTTAAAATCCTAACCCCCAATGTAATCATATTAAGAAATGGGGGCTTTGGAAAGTAATTTGGTCATGAGAGTTGAACCCTCATGAATAGGATTACTGCCCTTAAAAAAAGAGACATGAGCACTTGTTCTTGTTCTCAGCTTTCTGCCATCTGAGAACACAGTGAGAACAAGGTCATTTGCAAACCATGATGTGGACTCTCAGACACCAGATCTGCTGGTGCCTTGACCTTGGATTTCCCAGTTTCCAGAACTGTGAGAAAAATTAACAAAATTTTATGACAACATACAGAATGGTAGAACATATTTGCAAGTCATGATAAAAGAATTAATACTTAAAGTATATCCAAATGATATAAAATATTTGCTAGTCATGGTAATAGAATTAATATCCAAAATATATAAACAACATATACAACTCAATAGCAAAAAGCAATCTGATTAAAAATTGGGCAGAGGAAATAAGTACACATTTTTCCACAGAAGACATATAAATGCCCCAAAGAATATATATATATATGCATCCACAAGCAACATTTATTACATTTTATTCATGAAATTTCTAATTAATTGCAAAATTTTCCTACTTATCTAGCACATTTTTATTGAGGGTCTTCTTCAGACCAAGATCTATTTTCATTGTAATGAGTATGACACAGTCTCTCCACTCACAGAGTCATTGACAAGCAGCCTGCCAACTGAAACACACTTCTAAAAATCAAGGTGTTTTAAGAGAGCAAGAAAGGTCACCAGAGGCATTGCTGCTGACTTTGACAAGGATTATATTTTTTGTGTCTAATTACAAACATCATTTGTTACAAAAATAATATGTGTTAATTTATTTTGGAAAATAAAAGAGAGGAAAAAACATCCCATCGGGTTTCCATTGCCTAGCTACAACCCCTTTAAAATAATTAGCTATATTCTTATTATCTAAATATCCAGAATATTCTTACACCACAATAACAAAAAGTTATTCTATAATAATGTTTTCATAATGTGTTCTATTCTATTCAAAATTAATTAAATTTAATATTTTCCATGAAAATAAACACTCTTCTATAGCATAATCGAGTGACTGGTTTCCTTTTATATAAATAACATTCAATAAACTAGCTCATTTTTGTGCATTGAATTACCGATTTTCCCTTATCCTGATAAAAGTAAACAAAACTATTGATCCTGAGGTATCTGAGAACAAGAATAAAAGAGAAATTACACACAGAAAAACGACTATGTTAAAAAACATATAAAGTAAAAATACAGTTTATTACTTAAAGACCAAAGACAAAACAATAAATTGAAACAGAGAATAAAGTTTAAACCTATTTTTATTTGGCCAAGTGTCACTGAAGGTTTGGTACTAATTATTGGAAATTTAGGCAATTGAAGAGATCAATAATGGTAAGAGAGTTGAGGAATTACTAATACTGGAGTATTGAGTTTTATTACCATCTCAGTGAACAAAATCAATGTATCCAGTTACACAGACAAGAAAGAGGGCCATTTTGTTTGTACTTCCTTCTCCATTACCTCCCACTTCATCCTCCACCTTGAGTTCTTCATTGCAACTTCTAGATTCTCATTCCATCATAGGTTCCCACCATCTCATCACCCTCCTGAGTCTTTCTCAACTACTGTGGAAGTTCCTATACTGGTCTCCCAATGCCCACTCTTGCACACATGAGTGGATTCTCTAATGCAGTCTTTTTTAAAATGCAAATCTTATCATCTTATTAGGTTAAATCCCTCCTCACTCAAAATTTCTCAGTTCATTTCACCACTCTTAGGACTGATATTAAATTCTAAAAGTGGCAGGTTGTTTATGATCTGCCTTCTGTCTACAACCTCTGTCATATTTTCTCCTAATTATTTACATCATGTTTCTTCAATTTTTGTTATTCTTGTTTTAATCTGGGTGCACTAGGGGAATAATATGTGCTTTGTATTTGCCTATGTATTATCACTGGAAAGCACAATTTTTTGGATATAAAACACTTTGATAAATAAATGTACATTATTGATGATGATGACGATGACGACGATGACGATGATGACAAATATATTTTCTTGTCAGGATATGTCCCACATGACTAACCTACCTTCCTTAAACTATACATAAATGCTTTCTTTCTTCCATGTATGATTTTTTTTTAATACGAGAAAAGTTGTTCATTGACATTCTTTTTCCAATGAATTCAAGTTTTTCTTTACTCCAAAGAAGTATTAATTCAATTCTGGGAAAATGAGAAGAATTATGGGAAATGCAATGAATTTATGTGTAGTGGTTTTCAGATTTGGATTAATCTTAAGTTAATCTGATTTCAATCAGAATGGGTTTATATTATATAGACCCACTCGGAGTACTTTTACATTTGATCAACAGTTTTCCTTAAATGAGAAGGTTTGTCACACAGAAAATGTAAATCTGAATATGATTCCAAAGTTGGATAAAGCAGGGACAGTATTGTAAACATTATCATGTAGGTCTCCAGGCCAAGAATTACAGAGTCAGAAAGAAACCACAGATTTTACACAGGATTTCTTTTTCATTAAACTACTGATTTTACACAGACCAGTAGACTTATGTAATAACTAAATAATATATATAATTAGTAGCATTGAAGACTAACCATGAAAGTGTAAATAAGTAAACATGCATAGATTTCTTAGACTTGTTTATTTAGCAATTGTATAGCTCACAGTAGATTCTCCCTAACTTTTGTTTTTGTTGTTGTTGCTGTTGAAATGAAAATGTTATCACTGTACCCCTTTTGTTGTTTAATATTTTATGATACCCTGAATTTCTTGGATAATATTTAAAATTCTGTTTCCTGGATCACATTCAAAATTCTTAGAATGGTAATGAGATGTTGCATTTCCCAGCCTTTGCATACCCTAAAACCCTGTCTAGGCTTTCTGAACCAGAGTCAGCTGGATAATATATGTATCCTCTAATAGAATCATGGGCTCACCTCCCCCAGATTTAGTGCTTCTTGGGCTTCCTGCTTTTCACATGCTAGTCCTCTCTTTGATCTACCTGTTTCTTCAATACCACTAGGTTCATCTGTTACTGCTTCTTCAGCAAATCCACAATCCCGTGAATAAGTCCAAACTTACTATTGTATGTGTCCGTGGTATCATGAAACCTCTTCCATAACACTTATGAGAATACTTGTTTACATTTATCATTTAAATGTGGAATGTTTATCTGTCCTGAGATAGAAACTTCCAAAATGAGAGTCTTTTTTTTTCTGTTTCCTAAGCAATGACTATAGAATAGGCAATTAATTATTACATGCAAAAAGAATGCCTGCCCTCATGAAATGGAGCAGATGTAAGACCTGAGTTCCAGCCCTCACCAGAACTAGCTAATACATCTGGTTCTTCTTCATTTATGGCTAAAATGTCCTCTGTCTTATGAATACTATATTTACTCTTTAAAAAGTAGCAGAAAGATATTTTCATTGTTTCTAAATATTTTTAGGTCATAAGTGGGGTGTTGGATTTTGGCTTTTTTATAATAATGAAAGAATATCAAGTGTGGAATGTTCAAAAACTGCTTCAGTCAAAAATAAATATCATTCTCTTTTCTGTTTTCTCTATATAAAGAAATAAACAAGACAACAGTATGTTAGAATGTGTCCTTGTATCTCTACTCATGGAAAATCTGTCCCAGAACTTGGTCCCCATTTGACAACAGAGACCCTGAGACTTGGTAATCCAGTATCTATCTCTGACAGAGATGGACACTTATTTTCTGAATAATAATAATACTCAACCCAAAAATACTATTAGATTTGTAAATGTGTTTATATGAAAATAAAACAGGATATTTAAAAGGGTATCTCTTGGATTAAGTCTAAAAGTTGAGAAAATATGTCCAAGGACCTACAAATTCTACCCATTCTTCCCAGAATAGGGGGTAGTCTGAAACAGGCCTTCAGATCCTTAATTTATCACAAGATTATTCACAGTACTTGGAAGCTGATAAGAAGAAACTGAAAACAACAACAACAACAACAACAACAACAACAACAAAATTACTTGCTAAGGATTTGTAAGGATTTCCTCAGAGGGAAGTTTTGCTTTATCATACCTCGTGTTAATGAGGTGGTGTCTTAACATATTCAACTTAAGCAATAGATCCTTTATTTGAACAATCATAAAAACTTAAGTCATGCCTCTTGGAGTTTTAGAAATAGAGAGGTAACTTTCTGATTCACACCATAAAATGCTCCAAACCATAGGCTGTTTACCCCTACAGTCTTGGAAACCTCCCACATAATCTGAAGCTAATGCAGATTTGTCCTCCAGAGCAAACCCTACATGGTTGCAGAATTAGAGTCAATTAGAATTTCCATGGTTTTTACCCTCAACCACATCATAATAACTCATTATTTTGAGTATTTCACGTAAGAGTCAGCAGATGTCCTCACGGCCTTTCTTGAAAAGTTTCTTTTTTTTAAAGATTTTATTTATTTGACAGAGAGAGAGAGAGAGCACAAGCAGGGAGAGTGGAGAGGGAGAAACAAGTTCCCTGCTCAGCAGGGGCTCCATCCCAGGACCCTGGGGTCATGACCTGAGTCAAAGGCAGATGCTTAACCAATTGAGCCACCCAGGCACCCCTTTGAGAAGTTTCTTAAGTAGATAAAAATATAGTATATTTCATGGATAGTACCAAATTAATTTAAATAAGTACATTTTCAAAATAGCTATTTCTTAAACATTTAACCAAATGACACTATAGAACACAGTTATATGTGCATTCATTGGTTTATAGAATAACCTGGAAATCATTACATTTATGCAAGAACCAACCTCATTTAATCTCACTATTATCCTTTCAAATAAACTTCCCAGAATAGTTTTTCCATATAGGTTTTTTTTTTAAGATTTTATTTATTTGACAGAGAGAGACACAGCAAGAGCAGGAACACAAGCAGGGGGAGTGGGAGAGGGAGAAGCAGGCTTCCCGCTGAGCAGGGACCCCAATACGGGACTTGATCCTAGGAGGCTGGAATCATGACCTGAGCTGAAAGCAGCCGCTTAACGACTGAGCCACCCAGGCGCCTCTCCATATAGGTTTTAAGCATTAAATTTCCCAGGCCATGCAATGCCCCTTGCCCTTCCTTCTCTCACCTCCTATGAAGCTTCTGGTTCCTTAAGGGAAAAGAGCTGAAGATGGAGCAGAGTGTGGATTTGTGGAAAGGAAGGAGAAAAACTTGTTTCACAAGAGGATTATCTGTACGTTTAGATGTTATAATGCTCACTCTTTTTTCTGGGGAGAATTTTGGTAGATTCCTCAAGGATCCTAATTCCCAACCTATTTATATAATTTCATGGGGTATGAGTACTTAGTAAATCTCCTAGGAACTCCTCCCTCCCCATGATTCTCCTGAGATCTCATAGAGCCTAACCTGAAGTCTCAGGAAAATACATTTCTAGGCAGCTCCAGACCAATATTCTTCACCATGCCTTACTTTTGCCTCCGAGGAGTATGTCCAAAGACATGAGATTCAGAAAAATATAAGATGAAGTCAGTGTATGGCATAAGAGATTGTGTTAGAATTAGGTGTTTTTTAAAAGCTAGACCAGGGAAGAATACAAAGCTCATGCTCTCTTTTCTTATATAAGCTAGAAAAATAAGGAGCAAAACAAAAGGACAAAGAAAAATTCATAAATAAAAGTTAATTTTTCCACCCACAGGTACTGGTGGACTGGCCACCCTTAGCTCTGCACTGACAAGGATACTGACTCTCATTAAAAAGGACACATAGCACTGACCAGTCCCATGTGCAGAGCACCATGCAAAGTAATAATGAGGGGTTGCATGGCTGTGAGGCCCCATAGAGTACTCTGTGAGGGTTCAACAGGTTCCCACAGGGAAAGCAGTGTTAGTTGGGAAATGACCACAGAAATAAAATATATCAGGAATAGGGAAAAACAAGTGCAAATGCACAGAGATCAAATTACTGTAAAAATATTCTCCTAAGTAACAAGGTCAAGAATTAAAAAAACAAAAGCAAAACAAAAAATATGGACACAATATATCAAAGCATATACCTATTATATTTTAACAATTTAACATATCGTATAAAAAATGTAAAGGCTTAAAAGAGCAAAATATTGGTGGTAATATATTTGGTGGGCATATAAAATATAAATTAACCTTAATTATTATTTAATAATAAATAATTTAGGAATTAGAAAAAGAAACTAGGTGAAGATCAAAATTCACATATTGATTTGTATTTTAGAAGTAATAGCAGTGAAAATCATAAAGGAATATCTGATTATTTTATTTGCCTTTAAAAATTGTCATCTAATAAAAAATAGAAATATTTAAACAAAGATTTCACAGTGTGACTATTTTAAAATGCTAATTGGTTATACAATCTATAATTATAATGTTACAAAAGTACAACATAGTTTAAACTGATAACTAATCATATATAGCAAGATCATTTAAAAGAATTGACAATTTATGATATGGAAACCAATTGACAATATAATTTTAGTAGATCAAATATAATTTTCTATGATAATTTTTCCTCTAAAATATAAACAAATACTACTCACCTTTCTGAGTGATTAAGAGTTCTGTGTAAAAACAAAATATGTAATAAAGAATTCAACAAAGTATATGTGGAAGAATTTCTAGAGAAGCAGACTTTACTCAAATATTTCAAGCTCTGACTTGGTAAAATATTATCCAAGTAGGTGAAAATAAGACATAGAAAAGAGAGATAAAGAAGCAGGCATTGTGTGCATCATCTCTAATGGATGATTTCTAAGAGATTCCAGAGTATCGTGAATTATGCCCCTAAATCCATCACTTACAGTCTCCGTTCTTCATGAACTAAGTCAGTCCATGGAGATCTATTTGTATAGAGCTCATCTTCAAATATTCCCCCCCAAAAGTTCATGCAGATTACACATGGTGTCTGAGCTGCAAGACACTGGGACAAGATCACTGAGCCATTGCAAGGGGGAAGCATCCAGAGTCAGGAGTAACATGAAACAGCCAGTCATACTTCATTGCTCATCCCAAGAATAAGTTCTGGGTATTGGAAGACATATTTTTTTCCCCTGGACACTTGATAAGGGGCATAATCTGATGATAATACAAATACCAATTCATACACTGGAAACTGGAATGCAGCAGGTTATGAAAGATTTTAAAAATTTAGGGAGACAGATTAGGTGAGAAAGAATCCTCCAGACATAAGGAAGTTTCAAAAATGCAGAAGAGAAAAAAGGTTCTCCAAGTGCGTTTTATACAAGCTTCCTTTTCTCAAATCCAGTGGAAGTAGGTTAGCAAGTAAAACATACATGCAAACTAATATACAAAAATTGAGAATAGCTAACATCAGTAGAGATTTGATGATGGATCATGCTGTACTCTGCATTGAAATGTAGAACCATATGCCTTTTCAGGATTTCTGGGGGATTTACTGCAGAACTTCATTTAATAACTTTCACAGGTATTAACCTGTAGAATCAAACCAATATTTGCAAACTTCAAGGAATTATAGACATGATGACCCAACAGAGCTGTAAGATACTTGAACAATCTAAGATAAAAGGAAAGGAAATGCACAATTTCAAAACCCAAATCAGTATTTTTTTAAGATTTTATTTATTTATTTGACAGAGAGAGACACAGCGAGAGAGGGAAGAAAAGCAGGGGGAGTGGGAGAGGGAGAAGCAGGCTTCCCACCGAGCAGGGAGCCTGATGTGGGGCTCAATCCCAGGACCCAGGGATCATGACCTGAGCTGAAGGCAGATGCCCAACGACTGAGCCACCCAGGAGCACCCCCCAAATTAGTATTTATTTCCTTATATCTTTACAGACTTTTTTCTCTTAAATCTTTCCTTCAAAAATGCCTGACCTTTAAATTGTGATCAATGCATTAAACACAGGGAAGTAATGGATGACTTACCATTCTCTTCCTGAAGTTTACCTTTAAAAATAAATACACAAATAAGTTAGAGAGTGAAACTAAAAATTCTCACAGTTCATTGCTCTGTAAAGATAGTGCAGCTTATAAAAGATGTAGCTGGAAATTATATATATATATGTAGTATATGTGAGCCAAGTGTTGTGCAGCTGGATAACAAATAAATAGAAGTTTCACCCATATAGAGTTTCTTGGCAGACTGTTGAGAACCCATACCATGATTCACAGAGCTCTGAGCCAAGACCCTCCAACAGTGCTCAGGGAGATATTCATTCTCTGTAGCACAGTGTGACTTATTGGGTGAGTATTTAGTAGTTCTGATCTGCCCTACATTAAAGTATCCCCAAAGGACAACACTGTAACAAGTACTAGCCATATTCTTTTAAATGATTTCAAACAGCTTGGATAATAATCACTCTGACATTATTAATTGCAGATATGATAATTGGAGGAGATCATTCAAAGAGACTGAGAGTGAAGTATATATCTCCAAAATCACATATCTATGCTCAGGAGAGTGCAAAATGTTAATATTTTAAACCTTCATTCATCCAGCAAGAATCTTATTTTTTTTTCATTGAAGAATAATTGACATGATGTATTTTATAGTTTCAGGTGTACAATGTAGTGACTCAATGTTTATATATTTTATGAGATGATCAGCAAAAAGAGTCTAGTTATTATGTAACACCACACTTGATTGATTTGATACAGTGCTACAAATTATATTCTCTATGCTGTAAATTACATACAAACAGCTTATTTATTTTGTAACTGGAATATTGTACCTTTTAATCCCCTTTACCTATTTCATTTATTTCCCCAGCCACATTCCCTATAACAACCATATGTTTGTTCTCTGTATCTATAAAGAGTTTAGGTTTCATTTTGTTGGTTGTTTTGTTTGTTTTTTTAATTTAATTTAATTTTATTATGTTACGTTAGTCACCATACAGTACATTATTAGTTTTTGATGTACTGTTCTATGATTCAATGTTTCGTATAACACCCAGTGCTCCATGCAATACATGCCCTCCTTAATACCCATCACCGGGGTAAGCCCTCCCCTCCACCCTCCTCTCTAAAACACTCAGTTTGTTTCTCAGAGTCCATAGTCTCTCGTGGTTCATCTCTCCCTCCAATTCCCCCCCTTCATTTTTCCCTTCCTTCTCCTAATGTCCTCCATGTTATTCCTTATGTTCCACAAATAAGTGAAACCATATGATAATTGACTTTCTCTGCTTGACTTATTTCACTTAGCACAATCTTCTCCAGTCCCATCCATGTGGATGTAAAAGTTGGGTATTCATCCTTTCTGATGGCTGAGTAATATTCCAAATATTCCATGCTCTTGGATCAGAAGAATAAACAATGTTAAAATGTCTATGCTACCCAGAGCAATCTATACTTTCAACGCCAACCTGATCAAAATTCCAATGATATTTTCCAAAGTGCTGGAGCAAACAATCCTAAAATTTCAGAAAAGACCCTGAATTGCCAAGGAAATGTTGAAAAAGAAAAACAAAGCTGGGGGCATCACACTGGCTGATTTCAAGTTATATTACAAAGCTGTGATCACCAAGACAGCATGGTACTGGCACAAAAACAGACATATAGACCAATGGAGCAGAATAGAGAACACAGATATGGACCCTCAACTCTATGGTCAAATAATCTTTGACAGAACAGGAAAAAATATGCAATGGAAAAAAGTCTCTTCAATAAATGGTGCTAGGAAAATAGGACAGCTATATACAGAAGAATGAAACTCAACCATTCTCTAACACCCTACACTAAGATAAACTCAAAATGGATGAAAGACCTCAATGTGACACAGGAATCCATCAAAATCCTAGAGGAGAACATAGGCAATAACCTCTTTCACATTGCCCACAGCAACTTCTTTCAAGATACATCTTCAAAAGCTAGTGAAACAAAAGCAAAAATGAATTTGGGGGACTTACATCAAGATAAAAAGCTTCTGCATAGCAAAAGAAACAGTCAACAAAACAAAGAGGCAACCCACAGAATGGGAGAAGATATTTGCAAATGACACTACAGACAAAGGGCTGATATCCAAGATCTATAAAGAACATCTAAAATTCAACACCCAAAAAACAAATAATCAAGTCAAAAAATGGGCAGAAGACATGAACAGACACTTCTCTGAAGAAGACATACAAATGGCTAACAGACACATGAAAAACTATTCATCATGATTAGCCATCAGGGAAATTCAAATCAAAACCACATTGAGATAACCCCTTAAACCAGTTAGAATGGCAAAAATGGACAGGGAAAGAAACAACAAATGTTGGAGAGGTTGTGGAGAAAGGGGAACCCTCTTACACTGTTGGTGGGAATGCAAATTGGTACAGCCACTTTGGAAAACAGTGTGGAGGTGCCTCAAAAATTTAAAAAAATAGAGCTACCCAGCAATTGCACTCCTGGATATTTACCCCAAAGACACAGATGTAGTCAATAGAAGGGCCATATGCATCCCAATGTTCATAGCCGCAAGGTCCACAGTAGCCAAAGTGTGGTTGTTTTGTTGTTTTTGTTTTATTTTTTTAATTTTTAAAATTTTATTATATTATGTTAGTCACCATACAATACATCATTAGTTTTTTTATTATGATATGTTAATCACCATACATTACATCATTAGTTTTTGATGTAGTGTTCCATGATTCATTGTTTGAATAGAACACCCAGCGCTCCATGCAGAAGGTGCCCTCCTTAATACCTATCACTAGGTTAATCCATCCTCCCAATCCCCTCCCCTCTAGAACCCTCAGTTTGTTTCTCAGAGTCCATAGTCTGTCATGGTTCATACCCCCCCCCCCCTTCCCCCTTCATTCTTACCCTCCTGCTATCTTCTTTTTTTTTTAAACATATAAAGTATTGTTTGTTTTGGAGGTACAGATCTGTGCTTCAACAGTCTTTCACAATTCACAGCGCTCACCGTAGCACATACCCTACCCACTGTCTATCACCCAGCCACCCCAGCCCTCCCACCTCCCACCACTGCAGCAACACTCAGTTTGTTTCCTGAGATTAAGAATTCCTCATATCAGTGAGGTCATATGATACCTGTCTTTCTCGGTTTGACTTATTTCGCTCAGCATAACACCCTCCAGTTTCATCCACATTTTTGCAAATGGCAAGATTTCATTCCTTTTGTTGGCTGCAGAATATTCCATTGTGTATATATACCACATCTTCTTTATCCATTCATCTGTCGATGGACATCTTTGCTCTTTCCACAGTTTGGCTATTGTGGACATTGCTGCTATAAACATCGGGGTGCACGTACCCCTTCGGAACCCTACATTTGTATCTTTGGGGTAAATACCCAGTAGTGCAATTGTTGGATCATATGGTAGCTCTATTTTCAACTTTTTGAGGAACCTCCATATTGTTTTCCAGATTGGCTGCACCAGCTTGCATTCCCACCAACAGTGTAGGAAGGTTCCCCTTTCTCCGCATCCCCACCAACATCTGTCCTTTCCTGACTTGTTAATTTTAGTCATTCTGAATGATGTGAGGTGATCAGAAGGCATGAGCAGACATTTCTGCAAAGAAGACATCCAAATGGCCAACAGACACATGAAAAAGTGATCAGCATTGCTCGGCATCAGGGAAATCCAAATCAAAACCTCAGTGAGACATCATTAGTTTTTGAGGTGGTGATCCATGATCCATTGTTTTGTATAACACCCAGTGCTCCATGCAGCACCTGCCCTCCTTAATACCCATCACCAGGCTAACCAATCACCCCTCCGCCCTCCCCTCTAAAACCTTGTTTGTTTCTCAGAGTCCACAGTCTCTCATGGTTCATCTCTCCCTCTGATTTCCCTTCCCTTCTTTTCCCCTTCCTTCTCCTAATGTCCTCTATGCTATTCCTTATGTTCTACAAATAATTGAAACCATATGATAATTGACTTTCTCTACTTGACTTATTTCACTTAGCATAATCTCCTCCAGTCCCATCCATGTGGATGTAAAAGTTGGGTATTCATCCTTTCTGATGGCTGAGTAATATTCCATTGTATATATGGACCACATCTTCTTTATCCATTCATCTGTGGAAGGGCATCTCGGCTCTTTCCACAGTTTGGCTATTGCGGACATTGCTGCTATGAACATTGGGGCGCATATGGCCCTTCTTTTCACTGCATCTGTGTCTTTGGGGTAAATACCCAGGAGTGCAATCGGCGGGTCATAGGGTAGCTCTATTTTTCAATTTTTGAGGTACCTCCACACTGTTTTCCAAAGGGGCTGTACCAACTTGCATTCCCACCAACAGTGTAAGAGGGTTCCCGTTTCTCCATAACCTCTCCAACATTTGTTGTTTCTTTCCCTGTCCATTTTTGCCATTCTAACTGGTATAAGGTGGTATCTCAATGTGGTTTTGATTGGAATTTCCCTGATGGCTAATGATGATGAACATTTTTTCATGTGTCTGTTAGCCATTTGTATGTCTTCCTCAGAGAAGTGTCTTTTCATGTCTTCTGCCCATTTTTTGACTTGATTATTTTTTTGGGGGGGTGTTGAGTTTGAGAAAATCTTTATAGATCTTGGGTACCAGCCCTTTATCTGTAGTGTCATTTGCAAATATCTTCTCCCGTTTCATGGGTTGCCTCTTTGTTTTGTTGACTGTTTCCTTTGCTGTGCAGAAGCTTTTTATGTTTTTATTTTTATAATCCATATGTAAGTGAAATAACATATTTAGTTTTCTTCATTTGATTTGGTTTTCTTCATCTGAATTATTTCACTTAGCATAGTAGCAATTAGGTAGACCCATGTACTCTCAAATGGCAAGACCTTATATGTCTGATATCATATATATACTTATATTTATACCATATATATAGTTTAATATATCAATATATATATATAGATAGATATAGATACATACATCTTCTATATCTGATATCTATCTTTGGACATTTATGTTACTTCTGTATCTTGATTATGTAAATAATGCTCTGATAAATAGAGGAGAATGTATGCCTTTTTGCATTTTTGTTATTTTCTTCTGATAAATAAATACGTAGTACTTGGATTACTGCATGATATGGTAATTCCTTTTTTGTTTTGTTTTGTTTTTTTGAGGAACCTTAAAAATTTTTCAAAAAAGCCTGCACCAGATTATATTCCCACCAAGAGTTCACAGTGTTCCCTTTCCACATCTTTGCCAACATTTCATGTCTTTTTGATAATAACTGTTGTGTCAGGTATGTTTTCATCTGTGTGTTTAGATGCTATAATGGTTACTGTTTTGTGGGAGATTTTGTTAGATTCCTCAAGATCTTCCCTCCCATTTCCCAACTTACTTATATCCTTTCATGGGGTATGAGTACTTGGTAACTCTCTTAGATACTCCTCCCTCCCCATGATTCTCCTGAGTTCTCATAAAACCTAGCCTGAAGTCTCAGGCAAATTCATTTCTAGGCAGCTCCAGACCAAGATTCTTCAGTATGCCTTATTTTTGTCTCAAAGGAGTATGGGCAAAGACATGAGGTTCACAACAATATAAGATGAATTCAGTATAAGAGATTAATTAAGACATAAGGGATTGTGTGAGAATTAGGTGTTATGTGATCTTTAAAAGCTAGACCAGGGAAGAAAACAGAGCTCATGTTCTCTTTTCCTACATAATCTAGAAAAATAAGGAGCAAAACAAACAGACAAAGAAAAATTCATAAAAAAACATCAGTTTTTTTTTTCCACCCAAGAAGTACTGGTGGATTTGCCACCCTTAGCTCTGCATTGATCAGGCTACTGAATCTCAGTAAAGAAGGACACATAGTCCTGAGCAGTCCCATGTGCAGAACACCATGCAAAACAATAATGAGGGGATGCATGGCTGTGGGGTCCCATAATATTCTCAGTGAGGGTTTACCAGGTTCCCACAGGGAAATGCAGATTTAATTAGGAAATGATCAAAGAAATGAAATATTTCAGGAATAGAGAAAAACAAGTGCAAATGCATAGAAATCAAATCACTATAAAAATATTCTATGTAACAAGCTCAAGAGTTAAAAAAAATCAAAACAGACAAACAAAAATATATGAATACAGTATATCAAAGATATGCATCTTATATTTTAACAATTAAACATATCATAGAAAAAATTGTAAAGCCTTAAAACAGCCAAATATTGGGACACCTGGGTAATGCAGCCATTTAAGCAACTAACTATTGGTTTTGGCTCAGGTCATAATCTCAAGATCATGAGATCAAGCACCAGTCAGGCTCTGTGCCCAGCGCAGAGTTTCCTTTTGATTTTGTCTCCCTCTAACCCTTCCTCCACTCTCTCTCACACTCTCTCTCTAAAATAAATAAAAACAACTTCAAAAATATAGCCAAATATTGATGTTGATGATGTTGGCATCTTATCATATAAAATACAAATTATCATTAATTATCATTTAGGAATTAGAAGAAAACCCAGATGAAGATCAAAGTTCAGGTATTGAGTTGTATTTTAGAAATAATAGTAGAAAAATCATGAAGGAATATCTGAATACCTTACTGGGCCTTTAAAAATTAAAACCTAGGGGTCCCTGAGTGGCTCAGTCAGTTAAAATATGGGACTTATAGTTTCGGCTCAGGGCTTCATCTCAGAGTCATGGGTTCCAGCCCCTCACTGGGCTCCATGCTCATTGTGGAGTCTACTTGTGCCTTCTGATCCTCCACCCACTCATGCTCTCTTTCTCTCTCTAACATAAATAAATAAAATCTTTTAGAAAATTAAAGAATCTAATAACATAGAAAATAATTGGACAAAGATACTACAGTGTGACTGCTTTAAAATGCATACTGGTTATACAATCTATAGTTATAATGTTACAAAAGGACCACATTATTTCAAATGGTACCTAATCATATATAGGGAGATCATTTAAAAGAATTGATAGTTTATGATGGGAAAATCAGTTGCTAATATGATTTTCATAAATCAAATATATTTTTCTATGATAACTTCCCCTCCAAAATATAAATGAATACTACTCACCTTTCTCTGTAGTTAAGAGGTCTGTGTAAAAACAAAGATATAATAAAGAATTCAACAAAGTATCTGCGGAAGAATCTCTAGAGAAGCAGACTTTACTCAAATATTTCAAGCTCTGACTTGGTAAAATGTTAGCCAGGTAGGTGAAATTAAGTGATAGAAAAGAGGGAAAAGGAAGCAGGCATTGTATACACCATCTTAAATAGATGATTTCTAAGAGATTCCAAAGTATCATGAGATATGCCCCAAATTCCATCATCTACAGTCTCCTTGCTTCAAGAACTAGGTCAGTCCATGCAGATCCACCTGCTGATTGTTTGGAGCTCATCATAGGATATTCCCCAAAATTCATGCAGATTCCACATGGGGTCTGAGCTCCAAGAGACTGGGACAGCATCACTGAGCCTTTGGAAGGGGGAGGCATCCAGAGTCAGGAATAACCTGAAACTGCCAGTCAGGCTTCATTGCTCATTCCAAGAAGAAGTTCTGGGCATTGAAAGATATAATTTTTCCCTGGTCACTTGATAAGGGGCATAATCTGATGATAATACAAATAGGAATTCATACCTTTGAAACGTATGCAGCATGTGATGAAAAATTTTAAAATCTGAAGGAATCAGAGTGGGTGCAAAAGTATCCTCCAGACATGGGACAATTTCAAAAATGCAGAAGAGAAAGAACGTTCTCCAAGTGCACTTTACACATGTTTCCTTTTCTCATTACTAACTTATGTGGGTTAGCAAGTAAAACCTACATGCAAACTAACAAACAGTAAGAATAGCTAACATTGGTAGAGATTTGATGGTGGACCGGACTGTGCTCTGCATTGAAATGTAGCACCATGTGCCTTTTCAGGATTTCTGGGGCATGTACTGCAGGCCTTCATTTAATACTTTGCCCAGGTATTAACCAGCTTCTCCTCTCTGTAGAACCAAAGCAATGTTTGCAGTCTTCAAGGAATTATAGACATAATGATCCAACAGAGTTCATGGACACTTGGACGATCTAATTAAGACAAAAGGGAAGGGAAAGCACAATTCCAAAACCCCAGTTGGTATTTATTTCCTTATATCTTTACAGATTTTTTTCTCTTAAGCTTTCCTTCAAAAAAATGCCTGACCTTTATATTGTGATCAATATATTAAACACAGGGAATTAACGGATGACTTACCATAATCTTCCCGAAGTTTACCTTTAAAAAGAAATACACAAATAAGTTAGAGAGTGAAACTAAAAATTCTCACAGTTCATTGCTCTGTGAATGTAGTGAGGCTTATAATAGAACTAGAAATGATATATTTTTTGTGTGTGAGCCAATTTTTCTGCTGCTACATAACATATAAATAGAAGTTGCAACCACACAGAGATTCCTAACAGACTTTTGAGAACCCTCACTGTGATTCACAGAGCTCTGAGCCATGACCTTACAAATGCTCAGGGAGATACCCATTGTCTGTAGCACAAGTGTGACTGGTTGGGTGAGTATTTAGTATTTCTGATCTATCCTATGTTAAAGTATCCCAAAGGACAACACTGTAACAAGTACTAGCCATATTCTTTTAAATGAGTTGAACCTGATGAATAATAATCTCTCTGACATTATTAATTACAGATATGATAATTGGAGGAGATCATTCAAAGAGAATGAGAGTGAAGTATACATCTCCAAAATCATATATCTATGCTCAGAAGAGTGCAAAATGTTAATATCTTAAACCTTCATTCATCCAGCAAGAATTTTATTTTTTTATTGAAGAATAATTGACATGATATATTTTATTGGTCTCAGGTGTACAATGCAGTGATTCCATATTTATATATTTTATGAAATGATCAGCAAAATGAATCTAGTTATTATATATCACCATACAAAATTAATACAGTAATATTGATTATATTCCCTATGCTGTACATTACATACATGTCATTTATTTTTTTTCTTTTAAATATTTTATTAATTTGATGTACAGAGAGAGATAGTGAAAGCAGGAACACAAGCAGAGGGAGTGGGAGAGGAAGAATCAGGGTTTACACTGAGCAGGAAGCCCAATGGGGGGCTCGATCCCAGGACCCTGGGATCATGACCTGAGCCAAAGGCAGACGCTTAATGACTGAGCCCCGTCTTATTTATCTTGTAACTGGAAGATTGTACTTTTTAAAAAAATTGTTTATTGTTATGGTAATCACCATACATTACATCATTAGGTTTTGATGTAGTGTTCCATGATTCATTGTTTGTTCATAACACCCAGTGCTCCACGCAGAATGTGCCCTCTTTAATACCCATCACCAGGCTAACCCATTCCCCCACCCCCCTCCCCTCTAGAACCCTCAGTTTGTTTTTCAGAGTCCATCATTTCTCATGGTTCGTCTCCCCCTCTGACTTACTCCCCTTTATTCTTCCCCTCCTGCTATCTTCTTCTTTTCCTTTTTTCTTAACATATGTTGCATTATTTGTTTCAGAAGTACAGATCTGCGACTCAACAGTCTTGCACAATTCACAGCGCTCACCATAGCACATACCCTACCCACTGTCTATCACCC